AGGTCTTGTCAATGACTTTAGATTAGATTGGTAACTTGAAATTGTCTACAGTGGGAAAATTTAAATCTCAAAAATCAACAAACACAAGGGATCCGGTTTCCACCTACCATCCCAGTTCTGTTTGTTTATCCACATGAAATTGACCATAATCAACCCGTACTGAGCTATAAAACCAGCAACGGCAGATCTTGGTTTCAAAATATGTTTAAGCCCCTCTGAGGTATGTAGAACTGAAGGAAGCTTTCCAGCCACAAGTGTTGTGGGTGATAGTGACTAAATTTCCTCTCCCTTAACCCATGTATCCGTGGAGGAAGGCAAAGACCATTTTAACTGATGGCCACAATTCGAGTTATCCAGAAGTGCCATAGGCATACCTGTGGGCTGTGCCTGTCTATAAAAAGAAGGCAGTTGAGCTAATTAAACACCTCAAGTGGTATTGAATGTTTTAGCTTCTTGTATCTGGAAAATAGAAAAACCAAAATGGCACACTGCATACAGAGAGCATAGGAGAGTTTTGTTTTTTACCTTTTTTCCATTTTTTTTTGGCGTGGTTAAGGGACCCTCTGTTCATTTTGCCTACATGGAAATTTCAAGGCGGTTTATGTTTCAGGTCATCCAGGTAGGTGAATTCATTTATTTATTTATTTATACAAATAAAAATAACATTCAAGCAATATTTAATAAGTGTTTCAAACACAGAAAAAAATTATTTATACTGTTTTATCTTGACTTCAGAAATACTTATTGAAAGTGGTAGTTTGTTTACAGTAGACAAAAGGAATAAATAATGTGCAGTATTCTCTAGCTACTGGGGATAGATGAGTCTTCATGTTTTAAATAAAGTAGCGACATTTCTGATTTTTATTATAAGTGTGCTTTTAAGTTCTTATGCATGAAACTAATGTTGGTTTTAAGATATTTTGATTAAAGTTCTTTCATGTTTATTGTTTAAATGTGTTTCTTCTTACATTATGGAATTTCCTAAGCAAACTGTATCAGTGACATTTCAAAAATTTACCTAGATTATAACATGTTAAAACTAGAGGAACATTTGAATACTTCATGTGCATTTATTTATAAAATGTGGGAAACCCTTTTTAAAATAATTTTCTTTTTTTTTCAACTCACATTAGTTTTTTTTTTTTTGCAGTAGTATCATTTTAACCCTCAAACTGCATTTTCACAGAGTATCTAATATTTTTTGCAAGTAACATTTTGAATTTGTTCTTCTTGACATATTTATGTTTATATGCATTTTGCATCTCCCTATTTCATGTTTTTGAAATCCAAATGTAACAGATTTCAACTTTTTGTATGACATTATTTTTTTTTCTTTTACTGGGGTAGTAGCTCTCTTTCTTCTGACTTTTTTGCAAACCTGTTGTTTTTGAATTCTCTTTTTTCCCTTTATTTTCCTTCTCAATATGACACCAGGAGCCAACACAAAGAAAAATGCTGATGGTATAACCAGTAATGACCGTGGTGAAGATGAAGGTATTTTTTGTTTTTTTTCAAAGCTCGACCTTGGTGCATGATTTTATATCTTTCGTTCTTTTTTTTTTTCTTTTTTTCATTTCAACCTGTTTTTCCTCCCTTATCTGAAGTGAGTACACTTTTGTGTGCTTCATTTTCTTCTTGTTTGGAAACCACTGTCATTTTTAATCCCAATGACCGTGTAGATGACTGCAAATCACCTGGGAGAACATGTATAAATGTTTCTCAGTATGAAGTGAGTAACAAAATGCAATTTACAAGGAAACTCTTTTTCTTTTTTTTTTTTTTTTTTGGCTTGGTCACAAGAAGAGAAAATGAAATTTTAAAACATGCATGTATGCTTTCTTTTCTTCCTTCCAAATGTTATCTTATAATTTTGTATTTTGGAGCTTTGGTCTTCTTAATTTCTTCTGTGGACGGTGAGACACCTCAGTAGAACTTTTCAGGGGGCTGGCATTTCTGTTTTTGTTTGTTTTTAGTGTTGTTTTTTTTTTTCAAACATACTGATTCCAAAATGGGATTTTCAAAGAATCTTCTCTGGCTCACAGTAAAATACATGAAAAAGTGTCTTAAAGAGAAGTTTGTTTCTTTCAGAACTGCCTTTTATCAGCTTTAAGGGAAAAAAAAGGGGGGATGGAACTGAAATTTTTCAAAAAGTTAGCTCTATGCATCTTTGTCTTCACACCACAGCTGCTTTAAGAACATTTTTCCCCGAAAAATGTTTAGCTGCTGTGGAGAGTTTCTTCTTGAAGGATCTCAAATTGTTCGACAGATTATACACTAGAAGTAAAGTGATTTTTTTTTTAAAGATGGAAGCTAACATGACATCTAAACCATCATTAGCACGTTGTATCCTCTTCCTTCAGCAGAATAAATGGTTTAGAAGAAAAGAAAAAACAAATGTTTCATGTCAGCCTTTGCTGGCTCTAAGGCTGTGTAGGCTGGGTGAAAACATGTTTTTCCCATCTGAGTAGCAAAAGGCATGGATCTCCGTTTATTTACCTTAAAACGTTGAAGGCCCTCGATGGACCTATGGTTCTCTGGCTGAAAGGCAGTTTAAAGTGCAGTGGGGAGCTATCCTTGCTGGGAAGCAAAACTGCCCTCAAAGTCCCTTTTCGTCACTTGCTTGGTTTTCCTGCCCTCTTTGAGTTTTTTCATGAATCAGTGGCTCTACGAGAAAAGAAGTTTTGCCTTTGTTGCTTTCTCGTGCCTGCTGTTCTCTCAACACTACTGTTAGTTAATTTTTTTTTTTTACCTGCGTTCATAGGGTTCTCCCTGCTTCTAATAACCCTCTAAGAAAGTTCTTCTGATGGCCTTGGAGTATCATACCTGCACCTGAATCAGCACCTAGCCTCTCCTTTAGGAGGCCTCAGGACACCTGTAGTTTTACCCGTATCCCTGTATAGCCAACTATGGGTGTTAGTTTGCATCTTGCTTTTTTCTGGCTTTTCAGTGTATTATTCCCTTTTGACCGTTAGGATCTGTTTTCCCAGTGCTCACCAGTCACCTTTATTACTGTTAACAGTAATTTTCCTTCTAGTTTTTTCCGTCTAGTTTTCCTTTAATACCAAGCAACTATGATCATTTTCTTAACTTTGCACGAATCTGGCATCTGGTTATTTCTTCCTCAACCTCATGAGAACCTTGTTCTTTGTGTCTCGGAGGTAAGAGCCGCTAACCTAACGTTTTCTGTGAGGGAACCCCGTAAAGCAGCCCTCAAACTCTCAACTCCTTCCTTTGCCACAGTGGAGTAGCGTGCCGCCTACTGCAGAATGGTAACATAAATAAGGGCTAGCACAGCAAATCAGAGTCCAGAGAGAGGGGTGGATAGTGTAAAACGCCAGACCCCTGTAGGGACGGTGATTTATTTAAAAATTCCATGTAGCATATATGATGAGTGAAGGATTAAAAAATGATTTTTACTTCGTATTTAAGTTGTTTTTTTTTTTGCGGTACGCGGGCCTCTCATTGCCGCGGCCTGTCCCGTTGCGGAGCACAGGCTCCGGACACGCAGGCTCAGCGGCCATGGCTCACGGGCGCAGCCGCTCCGCGGCATGTGGGATCTTCCCGGACCTGGGCACGAACCCGCGTCCCCTGCATCGGCAGGCGGACTCTAACCACTGCGCCACCAGGGAAGCCCCGTATTTAAGTTTTACAGGAGAAAATAGTGTTCTGCGACAGATTAAATATTTGCAGACACAGGGGCAGCTTGACACTTTTTTCTGCACTTGACTGTGACCACTGGGTTTCTTTTGCCTTCGGGATGCTCTATGGTGGCGCCCAGGAGCCTGTTCTGAGACCATGATCGTAATTCATTTTATACGCAGCCACCATCCAAAGGGTGGTTTGTTGCCTTAAAATTCCTTTCTGATAGTTCAAAAGTGTCTCCATGAATTAGGGAAAAAAAGTTTTTATTTAAGAAAAAATGAAAATAAATGTACATGGATACATTTGGTTTTCTTCTGATACATAGATATTTAAATGACACACACATATATATGTATACACAATACATAAATATCCAGAAATCATTAGAATCAAGGTCGGGATTCTTCAGCATTCAAGGTAAAAAAGCCCAAGGAATGATTTCCACCAAACAAGTTATTTCATCACAACTTTTCAGAAAGTAGGCTCTACAAATAGACATATGGTCTCTAAACTTCTGTTGTCACAGAACATTGCAAAATAGGATTTTCACATCATTGTTAAATAAAATAATGATGACTCTGGGTACTCTGGTTGCAAAGCACGATGGGAGTTTATATTCCCTGTAAAAATATGTAGCGTTGCCAAACTTTCATCTTGAGGTTGGAATCTTGTGCCATTTTTATCCCAGCTCTCCTCTCTCTCTCTCTCTCTCTCTCTTTTTTTTTGTCACTTAAGTTGGGATATTACTGCAATCGGTAAATTAGAGAAAAGACACTTGCTTGGACATTTTGTTTTGTTTTTACACATTTCTGTCCTGTTGATCATTTTTAACCATGTATTTGTTTTTTTGTCATCATGGGCCCTGTATTGACAGCTTACAGTTTCATGACTAGTTTTATGTTCTCGTTGTTAAGTTGAAAATGAATCTGTAAGCTCCTCTTTGACTGAAGATAGAAGTTACAGTAAAAATAAATTATCATTTTGACGTTGATTTCACACTTACTTAGATGATAAAAATATATTTTGTAGTAGATGCCCTTCTAGGGTTTGAGCACTCTTTAGGGAAGATGTATTCCATCTCCATCCTTGCATATTTAGTGTTGTAGATACATACAGAAACCTACACCTGCATACACGTTCCTTCCAATGCCTGCATCATTTCTATGAGTACAAAATATAACAACATTGACCATTTTCCTTAAGCCATCTTACCAAGAGCATACCTAATTTAAAAAGGGGCCATGCGATTGATTCCAATCTAAACTAGGAAAAGTCACCCACGTCCTTTGCCCTTGACTTAGCATTGGTTAATCAGCATGATGTTTTATTGTGTTTCCTTACTTGGCTTTTTTTTCCAGACATCCATGATCAGAACAGTAAGAAGCCAGTAATGGTGTACATCCATGGCGGGTCTTACATGGAGGGCACAGGCAACATGATTGACGGCAGTATTCTAGCGAGCTACGGCAATGTCATCGTGATCACAGTTAACTACCGCCTGGGGATTCTAGGTGAGTGATTCCGTCTTGCTGATCACCGCACAGGAGGCCATGAGGAAGTTCTGCTTTTGGTTTGGGGCTCGTTGATTCCAACTGTGTTACTCTAATTCCTAGAAATCTCTACTACACAGAGCTCACTTCATGCTGCAAGATATATTTGTCCCTTAACGTTCACGCAGTGCCGTCTTTTTGTTGTTGTTGTTTTTCAAAGTTTGCACTTTTTAATCCAGGAATTTCATTTCCTAGGATCCGCCTCAAACACATGCAGCCTCCAAGGTGATTGGATGAACATGATGCTTTATTGAAAGCACTTTTCTTTCTGTGGGCTTAGCATAACCCTGTGGAAGGAACACAGCTTGGAGACGTGTCTCATAACGCATTTGGTAATAGGTGATAACTTGGTAATGGTAGATAATGGCCACAGACATTAGCTTTCTTTTGTGGTTTTGTAGGTGTGTTAACCGGTTACTCGTGTGTCGGAAAATCTTTTACTTAATTCCTTAATGCGTTGTCTGTGTCTGTTGTATCTTGAAGAGTTGCATGCCTGTTGCATTTACGTGAGATGGAATACTCCTATTTGAATTTTGTAATTTGATGGCTTTTCATCTTATGTAAATTTTATGATTTATGATGAAAGGACATTGGCCAAGTGCATAGGAATTCAAGAGCAGCTCTCCGTTGTTGCGGTGTTAACTTCGTTTTTCCCCAACTGGGGGTTGGAAAAATAAATAACGTATTTTGAAGTTAATGTTTCGAAGCTTACCTTCTTCTGTGGTTTAGCCTGCTCTTGGTCAGTTCATGAATAAGATTCCTAGCCTGTGTAACAACGTTCGTTTTCAAGGCAAAACTGCATTGAGAGGGTGCAGAAAATTGCTCACAGCAGCGTGGCTATGAGAATGAGATCTGTATGCCACAGGATGGTTATGGTAAAAGCTACGACAAATAAAATGGACCAACGGGCCTGTTTCAAATAAGAAACAGGGCTGAAATGTTTTCTCCAAAGAGGCGAGTGTCACTAAGAATATTTTATTTCCAACTTGAGGTTTTACTTTTGTTTTGAGCATTGTACTTCATTCACTACTGAAAACATTCACCTATAGAAGACCGCGGAGTAAGGGGATGAGTTGTAGATGACCTTCTAATTTAGAAATGCACATCACCCACAGATGTTTGCAAAGTTGGGCATTTTGGAGCATCAGTAAAGTACTGGAAATGTCAGGTTTTTAGGATGAAACACAACAAAAAGCCTCAGAGTCTAGAGCCCTCTTGTTTTGTGGTTTTTATTTCCTTTTCTTTTCTCGTCGGTGCCAGGAACCAGATCTTTGTGGAATGATTTCCGTTCGTGTCGCACAGCAAGGGTGGCATGCCTCTCTGAATGTTTTTCAGAAGCCTCTGGCTAGTTGATTTGGCTACTGGTGTTTGAAACCGGAGATGTTGTTTCTTGATGTTTTACAAAAGGTCCATTCTAAGGAAGAGGTGGGCAAAGGAAGCCACGGACCAGGGCTTGCTGCTAGCAGCCCTTTCAGAGAGGGCAGTGTGGGCGTCCCTCGGTAGCATCACCAGCTCTGGGCGTTGCTTTCTGAACAAAGCAGTGGACTTTGGGTGAGTCCTTGCTTCAGTGGAATAACAAAGCGTCCTCCTGCCTGCACAACACGGTGGTGACGTGACTTAAAAGGTTAGATTTCAAAAGAAATCGATTTTCTCCCCCGTTTAACGCCAAACTGGTATTAAGCAACTTAACACAGTGGCCTCTTATCTCTTTGGCCCATTTGTGAATCTAGAAAAGTACTGTGGGAATTACACACACCTTCATTCTTTTTTTTTTTAAGAAAAGAAGAAAACACATAGCTTGCTTTGAGAACTTTTCTCATTGAACATTTTTAATTTTACCTTTTGTGCTGAGAGTTAAAAAGAAGAAAATCTTGGTAAGATAACAGAGGGCTGTGAGAGTTGTGGCCTGGACATAAAAGAAGCAGTTTAGCCTCTCCAATCCAGTCTACTTACATTCCACGAATGAGTTAGTGTGAAGCTCTGCACCACAGACCCCCTTTTATCTGATGGATCGCAGTGTGCCAACTTTGCTGATTCTACAGGGCGATAGAGATTTTTTAAATGGGACTTGGTTTACTGTTATCAGGGATCTTGCATGGACTACCGTCCTCTGGAAAACTGGGCGGTGGCCGTTTACTTTTTGCTTGCAGGACATCACTAGTACCACTCACTAGCACTCTGATAGGAATAGATGTTTTTACCAAAATGTTGAAATAGTGTTGGAGTTTTTTTTTTCAAAAGTAAGAAACGTATAAATGCTGTTTCTCTGCCCAAGGAATGGAAAAGCATTGTTTGAGATGATTACCGTTCTTTTACAGAGTAACAAATGCTGTTTTCCTACCCAAAAGAAAGGTTTAGGAAGATGGATGATGGTCAGAGGGAAGCAGGAGGCTGGCGTGGAAAGAACATAGATTTTTATAATGAGATAAGAATGAACTACTTGGTGTCTGTGGTGTGACATTGAGAAGGTCAGCTGATTTTTTCGGAGCCTCTCTAAAAGGTGGTCCCGTTCTCTCTCTGGCAAGGTTATTGTACATACCATATAAACATCCTATGGGTTTATGTACGTGAGGTTTCATAGCCCAGCACTAGGAACCAGTAAACCCAGACGGGTGATCATTTCCAGTGTTATTAATAGCCTTGGACATCTTATTAACATGACTGTTGATCCACTGGAAAAAATTGCGACTGTCCAAAACGGTAATGTCTGTCAAATACTGACTTCTAAACGGAACCACCTTAATTAAACAAAAGCGATGATAAGACGCTCGTAATAAGACACAGATGACAGGATCTTCGCACGTGCTTTTTGAACAGTGAATATTTTCTTTAATCAGGACTGCGTCACACAACCTTGCTAGCCATTGAGCATGTAATTTATTATCTAATCCAGGACACTTTGAAAATTGTTAATAATGCTCTTAATAAACTGGGATTATTCCAGGCAAATGGGGATGTACCATCACAGCTATAAAGTAATTATTCATACCCACACAAGATCTAATGAACAAACTGGTGGTCCATTTATTTTCAAAGGAGATCTCTTTTTAAAGCATATTTCCTATTCGTCCTGCTGTATACCTTTGTCATTAGGAAAGCATACATAGCTAAAAGTTGAGTTCTATCACATCTCCCTCTATGTTTTTTCGTGATGATTGTTCAAAGACCATTGCTATATAAGAGGAATCTCCTCGCTGAGGCTTGTTGATGGAAATGCCTGGGATTTATTTATGGGTGGCTCTTACTTTTGCTTTCCTTCATTAATCATCTCTAATTTGCATCTTCAGTTGGTTAATTAGACCTCCATTCAAATGCTGATTTTAGTTTCTCTGAGAGGGTATTACTTTTTTGGTTATCCTATGATTTGATGCCTCATGCAGGCTTTAAACTATTTTGCTTTGAAACAATCTTATCTATATGCCTCAGCACGAAACTCATGGAGAGCCCGCAGTGTGGCCGTCACTGGACATTGTAGCTGCCCCTTCATTTAATCCTCATACACTCTCTTGGAAGGGTTCCCTTATCTTACTTTTGGGGAAACAAAGGCTCAGAGGTGATGGGACAGACTCACAGTGGTACAGGTTGTAGGGATTAGAGCGGGGATTGGAGCCCTGGTCTAACAGTATTAATTAGGTGAACTGCCGTAGGAAACAGTGCAAATCTTTATATCAGATCCAGCTTCTCTAATCGCACAAAACGTCACATGTGCCTATGGTTGATCTGGATACAAAATTGCAATTCGATGCTTACACTGTATTTTTATGTTCCTCAAAGTGGGTCCTTCATCGCTGATGCATTTTCATCAAATCATCATTGATGGTCTACTATGGTGCATGGTGATGTGGTATTGGCCCCAACGATGGCATCTGTAGAGTCAAAGCTCTCAGACACAGTAGATCTAAGGCTGTGTCAGCTAGTCAGGTGTCTAACCTCTTACGCCCATTCTGTTGCCTTGTTGCTGTCTGTGGCCAATCAATGGAATTAAGGCAATTGACCCAGAGAATGACTTTGAAACCGCACAACCCACTTTGGGACGTGAACCTATGGACCGGGACTCAAACTCAGCCAGAACCCGCATTGGGACTTGAACCCACTGTCTTTTGATTGAGATCACACACCTGGTCTCAGAACTGAATGAAGCTCAGATTCTTTATGTCTCAGTGCAGAAAGAATTCAGTGAGAGACAAAGTGATAGGTAAGAAGTGGATTTATTTAGAGAGATACACATTCCATAGACGGAATGCGGTCTGTCTCAAAAGGCGAGAGCAGCCTTGGGAGAAACACACTGCACAGACAGAGTGCGGGCCATCTCAGAAGGCAAGAGGCCATGAAATATGGGGTGGTTAGTTTTTATGGGCTGGGTAGTTTCATAGGCTAATGAGTGGGAGTATTATTCCAAGTATTTTGGGGAGGGGGTGGAGATTTCCAGGAATTGGGCCACCACCCACTTTTTGGCCCTTTACGTTGGCCTTGGAACTGTCCTGGCGCCTATAGGTATGTCATTTAGATGCTAATGTATTACAGTGGGCATTCAATGAGGCTCAAGGTCCACTGGAAGCCAAATCTTGCACCATCTTGGACCTAATTGATTCTAATCAGTTTATGTCAAATCCTCAAGGGCTATGTCATTCTTTTAGAGGTTCTGCCCTGTCCCCTTCCCTGCTGTTTCAACTTCAGTGGACTTCTCACCTGACAGGTATCTTACAGTCTTTTGAAATGTTGTCCATAGGTTTATATAACTGACTTTTTCAAGGATTAAAAAAGCATCAGAAAGACCTACTCATTTTTCAAGAAATGTAGCTACCCTCAAAGTTCTTATCTCAGGGAAGGTTGTGTAATGGTGTTTCTGAAGTTGCCTTTCTCTTTAAGGTTATTAATTGTGTAAGACTACTTTCGTTCATTGGTGTCATAACTTTAAATGTAAGATGGAAATGGTTTTGAAATAAATGCACAGCAGGAAG